AGAATGTATCAGCATCTATTCTGAAGTACAATGCTGTGAGTGATAGGATAATATTCATACACCTACAAGGAAAACCAGTTAATACTACTATTATTCAAAATTACTTACCAACTATCAAAGCCAAAGATGAGGACATTGAAGATTTTTACCAACTTCTGCAGTTTGAAATTGACCAAACATGCAATCAGGATATGTTGATTATCACTGGTGATTGGAATGCAAAAGTTGGAAACTAAGAAGAATGACATGTAGTTGGAAAATCTGGCCTTGGTAACAGAAATAATGCAGGAGATGGCATGATAGAATTCTGCAAGACCAATGACTTATTCATTGCAACTACCATTTTTCAACAACACAAATGGCAGCTATACATGCGGAACTTGCCAGATGGAGTACACAGGAATCAGACTGACTACATCTGAGGAAAGAGGTGATGGAGGAGCTCAGTATCTACAGCCAAAACAAGGCCAGGAGCTGATTGTGGAAGAGACCATCCATTCCTCATATGCAAGTTCCAGTTGAAGATGAATACAATTAAAATAAGTCCATGAGCACCAAAATATGACCTTAATTATATCCCTCTTGAATTTAGAGACCATCTAAATAATAGATTTGATGCACAGAAAACCAATGACCAAAAACCAGAGGAATTGTGGGATGACGTCAAGAACATCATCCATGAAACAAGCAAGAGGTCACTGAAAAGGCAAGAAAGGAAGAAAAGACCAAAATGGATATCAAAAGAAACTCTGAAACTTACCCTTGGGTGAAGAGTAGCTAAAGCAAATGGAAGAAATGACAAGATAAAAGAGCTGAACAGAAGATTTCAAAGAGTAGCTCAAGAAAACAAAATCAATTATTATGATGAAATGTGCAAAGACCTGGTGTTACAATACCAAAATGTAATCACTTGGCATTTCTTAAGCTGAAGGAAGTGAAGAGGAAATTTAAGCCTCGAGTTGAAATATCAAAAGATTCTATGGGAAATATATTGAATGATGCAGGAAGCATGAAAAGAAGATGGAAGGAATACACAGAGTCACTGTATCAAAAAGAATTGGTCGATGTTCATCCATTTCAGGAGGTGGCATATGATCAAGAACCAATGGTATTGAAGGAAGAACCTGAAGCTGCACCGAAGGAACTGGCAAAAAAAAAAAGACTCCAGGAACTAACGGAATGCCCACTGAGATGTTTCAACAAATGGATGCTGTGCTGGAAGCACTCACTCAGCTATGCCAAGAGATTTGGAGGACAGCTACCTGGCCAACTAACTAGAAGAAATACATATCTGTACCCATTCCAAAGAAAGGTGATCCCACAGAATGTGGAAATTACTGAACAATATCATCATCATCACACACAAGTAAAATTTTACTGAAGACAATTCAAAAATGGTTGCAACAGCATATTGATAAAGAACTTCCAGAAATGCAAGCTGGATTCAGAAGAGAATATGGAATGAGATATATTGTTCCTGATATCACATGAATCTTGTCTGAAAGCAAAGAATTCCAGAAAGATGCTTACTTGTGTTTATTGACTATGCAAAAACATTTGATAATGTGGATTATAAGAAATTATGGATAACATTGAGAAGAATGGGAATTCCAGAAGAGATAATTGTACTCATGAGGAACCTGTACATAGACCCAGAGGTTATTGTTCAAACAGAACAAGGGGACACTGCATGGTTTAAAATCAGGAAGGGAGTGTATCAGGGTTGTTTCCTTTCACCATACTTAATCTGTGTGCTGAGCAAATAATCCAAGAAACTGTACTATATGAAGAAGATGGCATCAGGATTGTAGGAAGACTCATTAACAACTTAAAATATGCAGACAACAAAACTTTGTTTTCTGAAAGTAAAGAAGAGTTGAAGCACTTAGTGATGAAGATTGAAGACTACAGACTGAAGTATGGATTACACAATGTAAAGAAAACAAAAATCCTCACAACTGGACCTATAAGTAGCATCAAAATAAATGGAGAAAAGATTGAAGTTGTCAAAGACTTCATATTAATTGGCTCTACAATTAACACCAATGGAAGCAGAAGTCAAGACATCAGATGACATACTGCATTGGGCAAATCGGTTGCAAAAGTGCTGAAGAACAAAGATGTCCCCTTGAAGACTAAGATGCACCCAAGTCATGGTATTTTCAATTGTCTCATATGCATGTGAGAGCTGGACAATGAATAAAGAAGACCAAAGAAGAGTTGATGCTTTTGAGTTGTGGTGTGGGCAAAGAATGCTGAAAGTACTGTGGATTGCTAAAAGAACTAAAATTTATGCACCAACCACCAAAGCCAAAGATGAGGAAATTGAATACTTTTACCAATATCTGCAGTCTGAAAATGACCAAACATGCAATCAAGATATGTTTATTTTTATTGGTGATTAGAACGCAAAAGGGATGCAAAAAATGGAAGAAGTGCAGCCAGAATCCTCCTTGGAAGTGAGAATGGCCAGACTTCATCTCACCTACATTGGTCATGTTGTCAGAAGAGATTTCTCTGGAGAAGGCTGTCATGGTTAGTAAAGTGGAGAGTCAACAAAAAAGGGGAAGGCCCTCAACAAGGTGGATTGACACATGATGGGCCCAGGTATAACAAGGATCGTGAGTCTGGCACAGGACTGGGCAGTGTCTCATTCTGCTGTATATAAAGTTGGAAACGGACTTGACAGTACCTAGCAACAACAACAGTCAATCTGATTTCTGTATATTTCATCAGGTGAGGTCCACGTGTATAGTCACTATTTATGTTATTGAAAAAAGGTATTTGCAATGAATAAGTCATTGGTCTTGGAAAATTCTACCATGCGATCTCCAGCATCATTTCTATCACCAAGGCCATATATTCCAGCTACTGGTGATTCTTCTTTGTTTCCAACTTTTGCATTCTAATCACCAGTAATAATGAACATATATTGATTACATGTTTGGTCAATTTCAGACTGCAGAAGTTGGTAAAAATATTCAATTCCCTCATCTTTGGCTCTGGCGGTTGGTTCATAAATATTAATAATCATAGTATTAACTGGTCTTCCTTGTATGTGTATGGCAATTATCCTATCACTGACAGCATTATACATCAGGATAGATCTTGAAACATTCTTTGTGATGATAAATGCTACACCATTCTTCTTCAATTTGTCATTCTTGGCATAATAGAGCATACAGTTGTGTGATTCAAAATGGTCCAAACCAGTCTGTTTCAGCTCAATAATGCCTGGGATATCAATCTTTATGCACTCCATTTTATTTTTGTCAACTTCTAATTTTCCTAGATTCATACTTTATGCATTTCATGTTCTGATTATTAATGAACGTTTGCAGCTGTTTCTTCTCATTTTGAGTCATGCCACATCAGCAAATGAAGGTCTGAAAGCTTTACTCCATCCACATCATTAAGGATGAGTCTACTTTGAAGAGGCAGCTCTTCCCCAGTCATATTTTAAGTGCCTTCTGACCTGAGAGGCTCATCTTCTGGCACTATATCAGACAAAGTTTCAGGGCTATTCATAAAGTTTTCCAGTAGTATATCAGTGTTTGCTGCTATTAATAAGGTTTCCACTGGCCAATTTTTTGAGAAGCTGAGAGCATCTTCCTTTTTCCAAGTTTGCCATAGTATGGAAGCTCCGCTGAATTCTGCCCACCATGGGTGACCCTGCTGGTATTTGAAATACCGGTGGCATAGTCTCCAGCCTCACAGCCACACACAAGCCATCATAGTACGACAAACTGATAGATTATTGGTGGCGGTATCTCCATTAGTAAAATATTTATATTATCTGCCATCAAGTCAACTCCCAACTCCTGACGACCTCACATGCACAACAGAACTAAATGCTGCCTTGTGCTGTTCCATCTTCATGACAGGCTGATAATCAGACCTTTGTGATCCACAGGGTTTTCACTGGCTGATTTTCAGAAGTATATCACCAAGTCTTTCTTCCTAGTCTCTCTTAGTTTTGAAGTTCCACTAAAACATGCTTAGCATCATAGTAACACAGAACCACCACTGCTAGACAGGTAGTGGCTACACATGAGATGCCCTGGCTAGGGACTGAATTTGGATGACAGAGCTGGCGCTCTTGTGGCTTCATGGTTTAAGTACTTGGATGCTAGCCAAAAGGTCAGCAGTTCAAACCCACCAGTCACTCTGTGGGAGATGAGGCAGTCTGCTTCTGTAAAGATTTACAGCCTTGGAAATTCTATGGGGCAGTTCTAGTGACTCTGACAGGGTCATTATGAGTCAGAATGAACTCAATGACAACAGGTTTGGTTTTGGTTAACAAAGCCAGGGTGGCACAGTGGTTAATGTGGGAACCAAAAGGTTGGTGGTTTGAACCCACCAGCAGTTCTGTGGGAGAAAAATGTGGCAGTTTGCTTCCATAAATATTATGGCCTTGAAAACACTATGGGGCAGTTCACCTCTGTCCTGTAAGGTCATTATCAGTGAGAATCAAATCAATAGCATTTTTTTTTAAATCAATAAGCATTATAATAATACTGACCTTATAGGGCCATTATGACGATCATGAATTAACATATAAAGCATTTATTATATAAAATATAAAAAGCATCTGTACATAATCAGGGTTATATAACTAATAGTTCTATTATTAGAAAAGAAATGAATAGATATGAAAAAAAAAAAGATGAAGAAGAAGAAAGGTAATAACCAGAGGGCAAAGAATTTGGGAGTGTTTTAGATTTGGGGACAAGTACAGTGATTAACAGAACCGTTACAAGGAATTTGAATTTTAAAGCACCTAAGAGAAGGAGAGAGGATTTTAAGGATTATGAATGGATTCTTATCTTTTCCTGATTTTTAGATTACAGTAAAAATGCATTTAACTTATATTTTGTTTGTTATGTTGAGTGTTTCTCAGATTGTGACCTCCTTTAGAGACAATTCTTAAGGTAGAAGCAAGAACACCGGCTTGTACACGGATTGCATTTCAATATAATAATTAAATACTCAATGGTTACCTCCACCACAAGGTTTGGAACACTGAGACCAGCTCTTCAAAGCCCACTCAAAAGTATCTAATTCTTCCTGGATCACATTGTTGCTGTTGATTGTAGGTACAGAATCTTCATGAATGATGTACTTATAGGTCAGGCTACAGCGGGTATCATTCTCCTGAGGTATAATCTAATATACACATGAAAGAGATGTGTAAATCACCTGAGACACTGTTAAATTTTGAGTGAAAAATTACAAATCTTTCCAAATATTGCTTTTATTAAAACTGGAAAAATTTAGAGTAGTTTGTAAAAGCATACTGTTTTTGTTTTAACTAAGGTGCAAGCGTGCACTGTTCAAGGAAAAAATGCAAACATACAAAACTTTGACCATAAAAAACATATATAGTGAGGAGTAAGGCTTTGCATTAAGGAGTACTGGTGGCACAGTGGTTAAGGCATTTCACTGCTAACTCTTAAGTTCAGGTGTTCAAAGCCAACAGCCACTCTGCATGAGAAAGATGAGGCAGTGTGCTTCCATAAAGAGTTATAGGCTTGGATACTCTCTGGGGCAGTGCTACTTTGTCCTATAGTCTGCTATGAGTGGGAATTGACTTGATGGCAGACTTTGCACAATGCTAACTTTATAATAAGATACATTATAAGGTTTCATTAGGGTATACTTTATTCATTAAAATAAACTGTCATGATGAAAAAAGTAATAAAGTTTCTTCTAGAAAACATACACATTATGAAAAATAAGAAAATAAAAATTCTTCATAATTCTACCACACCAGGGAGAAGCAGTCACTTTTATTATTTTGGGAAATTCCCTCAAGATATTTTTATATTGTGTTTGCATATACACCGGCGCTCTGGTGGTGTAGTGCCTAAGGCATTTGACTGCTAACCAAAAGGTTGGCGGTTCAAACCCACCAGCCACTCCTCGGAAGGAAGGTTGAGCAATCTATTTCCGTAGTGATACCACTTGGGAAACCCAAGGAGGGTCACCTATTTTTCCTACCTTACATATTCCATTTAATATGTTATGCACATTTTCCAAGATAATACATATTCTTTGAAAAATATGATTTTAAATTTCAGGATAGTGTTTAATCAAAAGGTAGTCTGACTAATTTAATCTTTTTTTTTTTTTTAATTACTTTATTAGAATTTGTCTCCACTTTTGTGGAGATTTCTGGTTTTCCTCAGTAAGTTAAAGGATACAAAAAAAGGAGCCCTGGTGGTGCAGTGGTTAAGAGCTTGGCTGCTCACTGAAAGGTTGGCAGTTGGAACCCACCAACTGCTCCACAGGAGAAAGAGGCCGTCTGCTTCCATAAAGACTACAGCACCAACCTGTCCCATAGAGTCACTATGAATCAGAATCAACTTGACAGCAATGTGCTTATAGACTTTTGAAGGACCCTACAAAATAGTTAAATACAATTAGTATTTTCATACTGAAAGTACATTGCTCAAAAACCAAACCAAACTTACTGCCATTGAGTCAATTCTGACTCATAGTGACACCTTCTTGCACTTCCGAGGCAGTATCTCTACAGAAGATTGCCCAGTCTTCCTTCCAAGGAGTGGCTGGTGGGTTTGAATCACCAGGCTTCTGGTTAGGAGTCAAATGCCTTAGGCAGTATGCCACCAGAGCTCCTACACTGCTCAGTATTACATATTATTTTTTCTTCTTTGTTAATTGGATGAGACTACTTTTTAAATTTTTATTTCTTTGATAACTAGTTATGTTTAATTTTCCTAAATTTATTGGGAACTTGTATTTTGTCTATGTATACTACATGTTCAAGCTAAGTACTCCTTTTTCATTAACGTATATGTGTGTGTGTGTATGTGTCTATATACGTCTCTACTCCTCATTTATCCACATGGTTAGCTTCCACAGACTAGGTCATTATATGAAAATTGGCATTATGCAAAAATGGATGACCACATCAGATCCAAAATGGAGGATGATTACATCATTACATAATTCCAAATACATAATTACATAATGATGCACAACCACTGCGAATCATGGCCCAGCCAAGTTGACACATAAACTTAACCATCACAATCAGTGTTATTCTTGCCTTGCACCTTGGAATTAGTTACTGCCAGACATAAATCTTCAATATGCAAAATAGTTAGATAGAGTTTTGGCTATGTTATAAATGTAAAATGTTGCATAATAAGAGTCAGTAAGTGAGACATAGGTGTACATGTATATCTTTTCTTAAATAATTTATACAGTAAGGGTATTGACCCTTTATATAATAAGCATCACAAGTATGTTCTTGTATTTGCTATTTACTTTTAATTTGCTCAATTTGCTATTTACTTTTAATTTGTTTAGGGCAAAGCAGTCTCTTCAAATAAAAATATCGGTTTAAAATGATTTTTACATAGCTTTTATAGTAATGTACCAATAATACGTAAATAAAAACATAGACAGTTCATTTGTATTTTTAACTAAACTTTCAGAAACAGTCTTTATTTGAGATATCAAGTGATATTAGCCCACTGGGATAAATAAGCTTGTTATTTGGGTCGGTTCTTTTTTTTTTTTTTTTTGTATTAGTTTTTGTTTTTAAAAAAAGCATTAAAAGTCAAGCACAAATCTTTAAACTCTAGTTAAATGTCTAATTCTTTAACGCCTGACATCCTAGTCACTGTCCTGTAAGGTCCCATACCTGGGATTTCAGTTATTTAGAAAGAATAAAAAGGTCATGACAATAGAGTCCTGCTTTCCACCGTCCCTCTTCCTAACTACAGAATCCTCTTCTCATATCTCCAGTCCACACTGCTCCCTGTGGTCATACCACCATCAGTGGGAAAGACAAAGAGGCAGTCTACCACAATGAGAATTAGGGTTCTGAAGCCAGATACCTATGCCTTTGGAAAAGAACTCAGTGGAATTATTTAACAGTGAACTAAAGTTTCTGATTCCCAATTACTCAAACTTAAGTCTAAGTAAAATCTTGATTAATTTATTTTTTGGTATAAAATTATCTATCCAATGAAACAGAATATAAAGTCCAGAAATAGACGCACACAAATTAAGACAATTAACATAGATGAAAAGGCTATTTAATCAAGAAATGACAGTCTTTTCAACAAATGGTGCTGGAATAACTGGACATTAAAGTGGCTTTAAAAATGTCTACATATTCTCAGATATCTCTCACCTCAGTAAGTGGAGCTTAGCTCCCTTTCCCTTGAGTGTGGACTAGACTCAATGACTTACTTTTAACAAACAGGATATTACAGAAGTGATGGTATGTCACTTTCAGTATAGGGTTAAAAAAGATTGACTTTAGTCTTATGGTTAAAAAAGACTGGTTTTAGCCTTAGGTGTGCTCTCTCACTTACTTTAGCTCTTGAGTAACTTCCTCTGATGAAAGAGAGCTACTAGTTGTGTTGTGAGGCAGTCCCGGGGTGGGGAATGTCAGCTGTCATGTTGTGACACTAAAGCAGCCTATGGAGAGACCCCCATGGTAAGGAACTAGACCTGCTAACAGCTACATGAAAAAGCTTGGAAGCAATCTTCTGAGGCCTTCTAACAGCTACATGACTGAGCTTGGAAGCAGAGTCTCCTCTAGACAAGCCCTGAGGTGACTGTAGCCATGGTTGACAGCTTGACTGGAACTTCATGAGATCTTTGGGACAGAATGACTCAGGTAAGCTGCTGCCAGATTCCTGGCCCATGGAAGCCATGAGATAATAAATGCTTCTTGTTTTTAGTCACTGTTTGTGGGGTAATTTGTTATGCAGTAATAGGTAATACAAAGATCTATATGCCAAAAGATAACCTTAACATCGTATGTGAAATCTATATAAAAATTAACACAAAATATTTCATAAATCTAAATGAAAATGTATACTATAATACTTTTACAAAAGAAAAAGTGGATTTTTTTTTTTACCTTGGGCTAGGCAAAAATACTCTAATAGAAAACCAAAAGTTTGATTCATAACAGAAATAATAATAAAAAAAGATAAATTAGACTCCAGAAAAAATTTTAAATATTTTGCTTTGTGAAAAGTACAAGTAAGAGAATGAAATGGCAAGCTATGGACTGGGGGAAAATATTTGCAAATCACAATTTTCACAGAGGACTTACACTGATTACATCTAAAGAACTCTCAAAACTCAATAAAAAAAGAATACAACCCACTTAAAAAACAGACAAAAGCTTTGAACAGACATTTCACCAAAGGGACATAATTTTCAAAGAAAAAGAAGATTTGAAATTGAGTTGGAAAATTTCTTATTAGTATAATATTTTTATAGCAAATCCTATAAATATTTGTGTACAGTGTCTAACTATACATTTCAATCAGGTAGGTGTCTTCTGCTTTCATCTATCAGGGAATAACGAATTTGTATTTCTGTCATTAAAAGCCATAAAGATGAAAAGACTATCTTCAGCAACTGGTCCTTTGGCAATGAGTAACAGAGAGCACAGGACAGTGATCCCTATGAGAAGAGAAACATGTCACACCCTGGTATGGACTTAGGACAGATTCTGGGCCATGGCATTGGGAGGAGGAGCCCAAGTCAAGCACAGCAGTCTCACTGAACTGAGGAGATGGGGACACAGCAGCTTGGAACTCACATGGCGGGATACTGAAGAATGGGGAGCTGCATAGAGAGCTGGCCCAGAGGTCTGCATGGGTCCTTGACTAAGGGCTGATTTGTGTTTTCCCAGGAAGACACCACAAAGCCTGCTGGCTGCTGAGGGGCTGGGAGTGGGATAGATATACCAAAGGGTAATCAAGTTTGAGAAACTTGGGTTTTTGATCTGGCAGGGCAGAGAAGCCTTATTAACATGTCATGTATTCAGTTAAGACACCAGGATAGCCATTCCATAAGAATAAGGAAAGAAATGAAATAGGCTATCCCTGACAAAGAATAAAGCCAGACTGCACAGGATCAGCTGTTGTTGCTGGATGTCATCAAATTGATTTTGACACATAATGACCTCAGGTGACAGAGTAAAACTTCCCCACAGGGTTTTCTTTAGCTGTAATGTTATGGAAGCACATCACCAGGGTTTTCTTCCGTGGAGTGGCTAGGTGGTTCTGATATGTCAGCCTGTCAATTAGCAGTTGAGTGCTTAACCATTTGGGCCAACAGGGCTCCTGACACAGGATCAGAGGATGTGTCAAGAATTTGGCTTCCTGTGAGAACAAAACTGGAAAGGCTGTAAGATGGGCAATGTAAACCAAATATCCTATAATTTATCATCCATAATGTTCAGTGTACAACAAAAAACTGTAAGAGGCAGGAAAACATAACATAAAATCAAGAAATAAAAAGGTAGCCAATAGAGACGGATACCATGAAGATGCAGAATTTAAAGGAAAATTTGGACAAAATGAGTAAACATATATGGAAATCTTAGCAAACAAATATCATTTAAAAAAAGAAAAATAAAACATGAAAATTCTAGGAAAGTAAACCATCTGTTGATTTTGAAAGAACTGGCTGGTTAGGCTTAAAGGCAGATTGAGGACACACAAGAAAGAGTCAGTGAACTGAACACAGCTCAACAGAAATTATCCAATCTGCAGAACAGAGAAAACAAGACTACGAAAGAATGAACAGAGCCTACGAGACTTATGAAACAATTTTAACTGGTTTAGCATACACGTGAGTCTCAGCAGTGGAGAAGAACATGATGGGGTCAAAAAGAATAGCTGAAGACATAATGGAGAATTTACCCAAATTTAGTAAAAACATCAATCTACACAGTCAAGAAATTCAGTGAAACACAAAGCAGGATATATAGAAAAGATAAAACATCCTAATATATCATAGTAAAATTGTTAAGAGAGGGAGAGAGAATCTTAAAAAAAAAAAAACTTCTGGAAAAAAAATAACACATTACTTACAGAGCAGCAATATAAATGAGGCTGACTTCTCATCATAAACTATGCATTTCAGAAGGCAGTGTAGAAATATATTTAATGATCTCAAAGGAAAAACAAACAACAACAAAAACTAGCACCCCAAAACATCATTCCCAGTGAAGATATCCTTCACATATGAGGGTGAGATACCATTTTTAGGTAATTCATTGCTAGCACACCTACACCTACAGGAAATGCTAAAGGAAGGTCCTTATATTGAAGATAAACATTATCAGATGGAAAGTTAGATCTATATGAAGAAATGAAGAGTACCAGAAATTGTAACAGAAAAATCCTATTTTACTTCTCCTGAGATCTTTAAAACACAACTTACTGTTTAAGTCAAAATAATATGTAAGTAAAATAAAATATGTGACAAGATTGTACAAAGAATAAGGAATAGATAAATGGACTTATAAAAAACAACCAACTAAATAATCAATGTTAAAGGTAAAAGTATTTTAAGATTAACTAATTAGGAAATTATGGATTAAATCAACTACATATTGAGTTCACATACCAACACAATAACAGGGTCATGTAAAGGTCCATCGGTGTGAAGAGTTTCAATGTCATCTTCAATGTTATAATCCCACTCCACACCAAGATCTATGAAGGTCCGAGACTTGGCTTCCTCGCCTTTGCCATTTAAAATATAGTGGCCTGTAGCCTGGTTCTTAATAGCTAAAGGAAGAAAAATAGTAGCCAGCACACATTTTATCATATGACAGCTTTGAAGATCTATATTAAGTGTATCATGTTAAGACCATGTTTCTCTATCAAAACAGTCTACATGAGTGCTAAGTCTGATATGACTCCTATTTCCTTTATGAAGTATTTAAAATGTTCAAGTAGCATTATTAATTAATCAAAAACAATGGACAGATATTTTAATGGGAAACAAAATAGATCAGCACATATTCCCAAATTTTAAAACACTGTCAAAGAGGTTAACAGTTTACAACTCTTATACATTTCCTTAGGGAGCTGGGCATATTTAGGAAACAGTATATACTTCCCCAATAATTAATTAATAATAATTAGTGTTTATGCTAGGACAGCAGGTAAAATAATGGCTCATTTACTTTACTGTGTATCTCTTCAAGTTGGTCAAAATATTTGTAGGCACAAAATAGAGCTGAACTAATTTTCAGGCAAGCAAACAATTTAGCTCTTAAAATTATAAAATTCCAAGACATGTCACCTACTTATATGGCTTAAAAAAGCTGCTTACCACTGCTAAAATTCTTAATGTACTATAGATCTACTACATATAAAATAAAAATGCTTCCTCTAATGGATAAAGAGTTGTAAATGGCACTTAAAATGTTGGAGATGTTTAAACTAGAAAAAAATTCCATTAAGTCATAGAATTACTTCTCTTGAACTTAGTCTAAATTTTCCAACGATAATAACCTGAACTCTAGGTTGAAGAATAAGGAATTTCAATTACTGGAGATAGAACTATGGCTAACTGCTAGATTGCTATGTCATCTGGCAGTGAACATAATTTAGATAGTTTTAAAAAAAACTACAGTTCTATGAAGCACTAGAAAGCAATTAATTATTCTTAAGTCACATGTGAGAAGAAGCAATTTGCTACAAATTTTCATGGTGCTGACAGATGATGCCTTTCTTCTTATTAGTTAAATAGGCCAAGTAATATATAAAAGTCATGCTTATACTGTATATACACTTTCAATACAAACCTCTTCAAAGCAGCATTTGTACAAGATCCTCTCATAAAGGAGGAAGGGAATCTTTGGTTGGAAATTCTAAACAGCCATGCAAATAGATCTGCATGTGTCAGTCAGAAACATGACACATGACTGATAATTAGGAAAAATTTAATATTAGACTAGTAAAATTGACATGAAGCATGTGGTTGCTTTCTAGTCAGAAAACTTAAAATCCAATAAAAATAAGGAGGCACACAGTGTAGTATCAAGCAAATATCAGAACTCATTTGTCAACATAAATATGGCAAATTTTCTGATATTATTTCTTAATTTAGTACATTTTGTTAGCATATTTATTTTTTTCAGGATCCCTTCATGTAGAGGAAAAATATATAACAAATACAAACTTGTCAAATGATTCTTTTCCCTCATGTAGTAATGAGCAAATCTCAGGTTCCACTTCAAAATAAAACTTTAGCTTTGGATATTTCTTGTTTTAAAATAGGAATAGTTGGAAGAAATGACGACAAAACCACACTTTATTAAATGAATACATTTATATGTAGTTTTCATTCTTGCATATATGTTTATGTATACATAAACATACATACATAGACATATACATACCTATATGTCTATATGTCAGGGAGCTCTGGTAGCATAGTGGCTAAGGCACTTGACTGCTAACCAGAAGCCTGGTGGTTCAAATCCACCAGCCACTCCTTGGAAGGAAGATGGGGCAAGCTACTTCTGTAGTGATACTGCCTTGGAAACCCAAGGAGCTGATATGAGTCGGGTTCGACTTGATGGCACATAACAACAACAACCACCTATATGTCCATATAGGTATGTGTGTGTGTGTATATGTATGTATCTGTGTGTACATATATATATATATATATATATGTGTGTGTGTGTGTGTGTGTATGTATATCTATCTATGTGTGTGTGTGTGTTTGTGTATATATATATGTATATATATATATACAATTCATGTTTAAGTGCATGTTAAAGCAGAATTATATGGACAGAAACACTTACCAAGAATATGAGGAGAAGCCTCGTCTTCTTGGATTAACACATGTCTAGCACCAGGGGGTATATCAAACATCTTAAGGTACCCTTTGCATGTGTAGTAAATAGTGGAGGAAGCAAAGAAAAAAATAAAAGCAACAGCGATGGTTAGTACAGCACTACATTATTGCTGCTCCAATATGCAGAAGAGGACATCCATAAATGAAAAGAAGCTGTTTCAAAAATTATTTCAAAGTATTGGTAGCTTTTGTGACATCTGGTAGAATATTAGAGGGCATTTTTTTTTTTTTTTAGTATAACTTTTTTTTTTTTTTTAATTGTGATTTGGGTGAAGATTTACAGAGCAAATTCACTCTCGATACAGCAGTTCACATATACTTTGTCTCATGTCATTGACCACAGTTTACCACAATGCAACAGCTCCCCTCCAACTTCCTCCCCATGGTACCACTTCCCAGTGTCCATCCCTCCATACTCTCCTGCCCCCTAAGCTGTCTCCCTGTGCATAAGCTGCCCTTCCTTCTCCCATGATTATTCTCTCGAGGGTGTGTGTCTACTTGAGGTAAATGTTCAACTCACATGCCTGTACTTGGTTTGGCTGGAAACCACAGGTGTGGGTTCAATTCCAGACCTGAAGGGTAGCTAGGGGACATAGTCTCAGTGGTTCCACCAGGCTCTATTGGACCAGCAAACCTGGTCCCAACCATCCCCCCCCCCTTTTTTTCCCCCTCCAAATGATTTTGAGTTTTGTTCCACATTGTTCTCCCTCTCTATCCAGGATCTCCTACATCCCTTCCAAGTGGATGACAGTGGTAGCCGGGCACCATCTAGTTCTTCTGGTCTCATACTTGTATAGGTTGCAGATCGGATGGTGTAACAGTCGTGGGAACTGATTGTTTCCATTAATTTTGTTTTTCTGCTTTCTTCTTTGCTCTTGACAAGGAGAGACCCATTGTTACATCTAGATGGCAGCTTGCTAGCTTTTAAGATCCCATTTGCTACTCATGAAAGTAGGAGGTGGAACAATGTTTTGTATAGTATGTTATGCCAATTGAGTTTGATGTCCCCTGTGACCATGGTCCCAGGCCTTCAGGATCAACTACTCAGTCGCTGTGGGTAGCTGGCTGTGACCAAGCAGTGACCACAAGCTAGCCCCTTGTCAGTTGTACTATACTCCTGGGGATTCTGATCCTTCACATAAACTTATAGGACCATTGTCTGCCAACCCTATATATGATCCTGGATACACTCCCTCCTTCATACACATAGCTAATCGTTTAGCCTGTCCACCTATCTATCCATCCATATACCCATGTTTACCTTCACTGAGAACTCAGTACTGTATAAGAGGGCATATTTTTTAAGAGGGGAAATAAAAGTTAATCCTGTCACCAACCTTATACTCATTAACCTTGTATTAATCTGAATTGTGACAACAATTAGGCAAATCTTGTCATTTCCCATGTCCTGCTATGTGATTCTAATTTTCTGAATCCCATTTTTGTAATGAGGTCCTTTTTCTGTGTACTTAGTTCATGGGCTCCTTGAGCTATTTTGTCTATCTATATAGTCTTTTAATAGCATAAGTGGCAAGTACAGATAGCCAAACTTCTAATTAATAAAATATTATCAAATTTAAAATAGTCTATCTCATTCTAAAGAAATTACAAAAGAATAACCAGTGAACATCTCATTTTTCTTGTGATCAATAATTAACTTTATAGCCTCAAACAAGTTATGCAATAGGAATGTTTTAAAATACATGTTGTAGATTTGATCAATCTAAAAAACAAAACCCACTGTTGCTGAATCAATTTTGACTCATAGTGACTCCACAGGACCTCTGTAGAAGTACCCCATAGGGCTTTCAAGGCTGTAAGTCTTTATGTAAGCAGACTGACTGATCTTTCTCCTGGCGAGAGCCCAGTGGATTTGAACTGCTGACCTTTTGGTTAGCAGCTGAGTGCTTCAACTACTGTATCATCATGGCTCATAGATTCGACCAAATCTTTTGACTGGAAAATATCCACAAGTTACGTTGTACATTGCCTTTATATCACCTTGAGCTCATTCTGCCAAGAAATAATAAAACTAATATGCTGAAATGGTTGCCTTTGCTTTTAAAATCATATATCAATAGCACTACATTCAATGTTATATATGGCAAAGTCTTCCTAGTATTATCATTTGTCCTAAATAAATAATCTTATGATAACTTACAATCAAGTTACTAATTATAAAAACAACAATAGATCAAATAGACAGTATATCTCATTTTATCAGAAAAATAACTAAATGTAGGAAGGTTATGTAACTTGTATCTTTGGTGAATTATGAAACATCCAATTCATATACCACACAATTGGAACTGACACTCAGTTATCAATACACATTCCTGATAAAATTAGAAACCAAACATGCTGTTGTTACTTGTATAAGGCAATTAATATGTACCTATGAAGATATTTACCTAGCTTTTTCCCAGTGTTTATTACAGTCTTAATTAATTTGGGTAGACATTTTGGTGTTACGTGTTGTTGTTGCCTTGGCCTGGGGTAAATTCCAACATATGAAACGTGCCATGCTTGCCTGAGTATGGAATGGCTACAACATGCTTAAGATGCCAAGTACAGCAAAACAGCCTGATGCCATGTACGGATGCCCGTCTTTCTGCAGTTTACTACAACTTACCCAGTACATTTTTAGCTTCCCTTGTTTCAGCAAGAGAAATATTGCGAGCTCCTTTGGGTAAAGTGAAAGCGCCTCTTGTCTTCCCTTAAATAGAATGTCTTTAATTAGTGGAAGTTTCATGTTTATCAAAGTCTTGTTGTTTCATTGACTATATTATAAGCTGTATATATTTTATTAAGGTAAGATATAAAATACATGTCATTTTTTTATGTTTCAGTAAAAAGGAATTATGATAGCTAACATCAATATATTGTAAATAGTCAATGAAAGTAAGACTAAGCATGAATGCAAAATGATGTAGGTGATTTGAAGTTGAATACTTGCAGATTTCATTTTCCAGCAACTTGAATTCTTTTTGGCACCTCTTGCTTAATTGTTTTCCTGTTGGAAAAGGTTAATTAGTCTATTGAATAACTATGATGACAACATGATTGCAAAGAAATGGATGTTAGGTTAGCTTTGAACCATTTGGAGCTTATGACTGATGAAAGCTATTGCCACTTCTTTGACCTTTGATTCACAGGTTAAGCATAATTTTGGAGCTATCAAAAAAACCAGTATCACTATCTTATATTACACATAATATGGAATAAATGATTAAAGCAAAAAACTTTTTTCTTTACATTGATTAACACTGAAAATAAAGCAAAATGATAATTTTTCACAGAAAAGAGAAGAATAATATGTAATTGCAACAAAGAAAGCACAATAATTTATTTTAGAATCAGATGAAGAAAAATACATTCAACTCTGCCAAAAACATAATATAATGTACATAATTATAATTTTGGTTTCTTTATTAAAATAATATTACCAGCCTTAATTGGTGATATTTGCTTTTTAAAATATGTTTTTAAATAAATTTTAATATAGAGTAGTATCACAGAGGGATAGCAAAGATATCAGCAATCAGAGTAAGGAATACCTAAGAGAGATACTAGCATATAGCCATCTGGTTCTTTTGTCCTAAATATATCAAAAGCTGTTGTGTCTGGAATTGGCTTAAGTTGGGTAGCTGGAGTATAATGATAGAAAGACCTAAGAATTATTCCACTTGGATAAAAACAAACTTTTTCATATTCATTTTTCTAAAAGGAAAAACTGTTATCAGAACTACATGCTTGAAGTAACCCCAATTTCTTTTTGTTGTTGTTTTTCTGTCATTATTTTGGGACTATGCTGACAATGCTTTAGGATACAAAAGAGAAGTTTCTCAAGGAAAGCCCCATATTAAAATTATTTATCAGTGGCGAATGCCAAGAAGCATTTATTTGTCCAATAAACACTGGTTGAATCACTGAATATTATTTGTTACAAATTTAAGAAATGATTTATTAATCAATGTTTGCATCCAAATCTTTCATGAAAATTTCAATGAGTAATTATCAGCATATGGGTATTTTTGTATATTATTTGTTGTATAAGTATATTATTTGCCCCATCTGCGGAACCTTCAGTACATGTCTAAGTCTAGGGCACTGACTAGGTAACAAACACAAAAGTTCACACATAGAAGCAATGATACAAAATGAACAAACAAATAAAAAACAAACAAAAAAAAAACATAACCCTCAAGTTGATTCTGACTCAAAATGCTTCTATAGCACAGAGTAGAAGTGCCCCATAGCATTTCCAAGGCTGTGTACCATTATGGAGACAGACTGCCACATCTTTCTCCTGTGGAATGGCTGGTGGGTTCAAACTGCCAACCTTTCAGTTAGCAGCCAAGCACTCAACCCCTGTGCCACCAGTGTTCCTTATTAGCCATTATACCTCATGTTATTTTGGCAGTATCTGAAATTTTTAGTATAATTTTTTTAAAGTTATGAGAAGCATGATTCCTCAATTTACAGATTTATAAAGAGAATCAACCTGTTCACTTTGAAAATGAAGAACGCAAGACTGATGCAACCTTACAAACATATTTAATGTTTTGTAATTTTTAACTGCTGAGCATCAATTCTAATAATTAGATTGAGTGCATTTTATTGAAAACACAAATTAAAATACAGATTTTATCTTTTTACAATAATTGATACTGGTTTTGTTTGTTCTTTAAATGGTAATTTTCATCATAGATGCCATGGAGTATGAACTCAATCAAGGTTTTTTTTTTTTTTTTTTTTTTTAATAGCTCCTTAAAAGGTAATCTAGATAAAAAATAAATCATTTGTTGATTTTTGTTATATTTATTGAGAAAATGATGCACTCTTAAAAGAGGAGGTCTCAAAAAGAACAAAGCATAATGAAATAAGTAAGGGCATAGAAACCTTATCTTACCAAGCTTCCTTGGAGTTCTGGTAAATGTCCCCTTCACAGTTCGACAATGGGAATTATCTCCTCCACAGACGCCACATTTATCCTCAACCTTGTTAGAGCCAATTTCTTTATCACAGCCCACTTTCTGGGGAAAGAAGGTGTTAAATGGGGCTAATTTTAATGTGCCAAGTAGAGGTTGGCATCCCAGAGGATGACAAACCATTTGCATAATCATGTGCCAACATTCAGCCAGTTCTCAAGAAACTTTCACTGAAGCCTTGATTTTTAATGTGAATTTGAAACATTTTAAAGAACAGGTGTAAACCCATATGACTTGTTCTCTGGCTGGTTAACACTCCACTGCCCCAAGATTAATATTTACCCCACAATATCCTATTATAATCACCAAACGAGCATTTATTGAGTGTAGATACAGTAGCTGTTGGAGAGACCTTCGCCCATCCCACCCCTACCAAAAAAAAAGAAGATGGTGCTTTTCCATTATTGCTTTCATACTTATGAAGATGAACCACTTATGAAAATAGTGAATCATACATTTGTAAAAACTTTAAAAGTTGGTTAGAGATGTGATACAAAACTTCAGAGATGGAGACATTAATAGGGATTTGAAGGAACATAGGGTAGAGGTATTTCAGAAATGTGGAGAAATTAAAACGGAGCCATGAAAGTGGTTTACTCTTGGGAAGTGGGTTCAGAGAACAATATCAAAACTGTTATTGAAATCAGTGGAAGGTTAGTGTTGCATGATAGACAAAGAATAGGTGCCAGATTTGCATAGCACAGGTTGCAGAAAGCCTTGAATACCAGGAAGAATGGTAAATTTTCTCATTGATTTAATTGTGAACTACTGAAGGTTTTCTAAGGTGGGCCAAGTCCTTGATGTAAATCGGTGTAGGATAATGACATGTCATTGCACTCTTAAATTCAGGTTGGAAGTATACAGGGAAAATAATAACACATATACATAATGCATTTGTACACTGGAGGTAAAAGGTGGACAAGACATACATTCTACTCTCAGGGAAATTTCAGTTTAACTATGATCATCCATGTATTTGAGACCAATTAATAAAATAATTTAGTTGTGCTTAAGTAAAAAGGAAATATACTTTAGGATCCATGTGCTCAGTTCATAAGGATAATTTCATATCAAACTTCAATTAGTGGACATGAATAAGAAAATAGACTATATTAAAAAAAAAGGTTAAATGGGGGCCAAAGTCATTGTCCTTCTTTACATTTGTTCTGATATGGAATTTAGCATTTAAACTTAGACTTGATCAGAAGGTGAGAGAGGAAGAAAGAGAAGTCTTTATTAGCTTTCAAAGAAAAAATAAAGTACATTTAGCATTTTTTTTTAAAGTAAAGCTGATATTTTGATATAAAACAGCTACTAGTAAAATACTCAAAGCAAATGCATTGTTCCCAAGCTTTTGAATTCCCAATCTCAAGATACCAGAAAAACTTAGATATAGAAAACTACTCAAACCTTGATTCTCCAGTGACCAAAATTTGATTTCATAAGCAAAATATCTCTCAAATTTATTTGAGTTATTGACCTATCTGTAGACTCTCATCATAATGTGATTTCACATGTAAGAAATAGTTAACAAGTTTTTTTCCCCAAAATACTGAATGACAATAAACATAGAATTGAACAATACTGTAGGAAGCCTTTGGGAAGCAATTTAACTCACCACACACTCTCCTCGAACACAGATGCTATATGGGTCTTTGTAAGAACAGCGTGTTCCATCATGCACCAGCTGTTTCATAGAAGCAACATCTCCAGTCTCTTTGGATTGGCAGTAAAGATGGCATCTTTTCTTAGCTGTATAGTATGAGGGATAAAATTAATGATTTACATAAAACGATGTTTGATCAGCCTTGTTTATTTTATTTTTAAAATACAAAGTTCCAATGTGGTTTCTTACAAACACAAGGGATACTGTACAGACAAATAAGGAATAGGAGACAAGTGTGCATATTTGACTTATTTATTTTAACCAGTAGGACCATGTAATTTATCATGAAAGCTGGGATACTTTTGAGAGTGAATGGGAGTTCTATTAATTTTTCAGGGCCAACAGGAATAAACGAGAACTGTCTTAGGCAAACTGAGTTGTAAGCCAACCCTAGACTTAACCACTCTCCATAATAAAACCTTAATTCAAAACCTAGTTGGTTTTAATGGCTATTACCAAAAAACACCAAACACTGCTGTTGAGTCGGATCTGACTCATAGTGGGCCCTCTTTGGGTTTCCAAGGCAGTATCGCTACGGAAGTAGACCACCCAAGAGGGCTGAAAGAGCTTCTCTTTGATTTGATCCAATCACATAATAGTTTTTCCTTCTTGTAGGATCACCTAAATTAAATTTAATATAAATTATGAAACTCACTTCATCAGAATAGATAAAAAAAAAATAATGCATTTCTTTTTAATGAATGACAACTTTGAATTTCAACATGCATGCACCTTTCCTTTATGACAGCTTTTAGACTGAAACCAGTAGTGCATTACATCATATGTTAACCTGTAACTACTTCCTTTTATTCACTTGAATAACAAGTATGGCAAGACGTTTTCATCTGAGCATATATAACCAAAAATTCAGGACTAAGAAGGGAACCATCAAATAGGAATTCCAAGTGTTTTTTTTTTTTTTTTTTTGATAACTGGTGTACGGTACAAAAGTATTGAATAATGATCTTTTCATTGGTCCTGGTTCAATTGTCAAAGAGCTACCTTTTTCTCTGGTTATTCAGAAAGGAATGATCACAATATTCCAGAAGGATTTCCTAGGAGAGAGATTTCAGTTCAATCAGGAGGTTATTTTTCTGTCTGTCCTTGTGTCTTATTTGTTGCTTTCCACTAGTCTTTCTATGGGTGATGGTAGTAACGCTGTGGCCAGGAACTATTGCACAATTCTTGCATCTCTAGAGAAAGGAGTACTTTAGCCTTATTCTTAGAAACCAAAAAGGACTTACCCTTATAAGCACCAAAATTTTTAAGTTACCAAAGGATTAAAAGTCCCCAGGATTGGTGTTCACAAAACTTAAACTGTAAGTAACCATCTACACAGCAGGAAAAAAACAAGCATCTACTTACAGTCAGGGTGCTCGTATGGCAACCAGTGGTGTTTGGTATTCTGGTATTCAAAGTGGGAGTTACGCTGTTGGCACTGTTGTGCTCTGAAGTCCTCAAAGTGTTTTTGGCATTCTTCTGTATTACAAAGCTGGTACTCAAAATTAACACCAGGACAATCTTGACCACCATTGATGGGCCTAAAGAAAAGACAACACTTAAAAAGGACTTTTGGCTTTGGTCCAGCCACTGAAGCTCCCAGACACAGTACTTGAGGGCAGGAAGCCAGAGCTTCTGAATTGCCAGCGCAAAGTGAATGAACTCACAGTTCCTAATTTTGGACCCTTTCCAAAGGCACAGTCCTACCTCTGCTGGGAGGAAGGGCAAGGGCAACCCAAACTTACGTTAACATTTCAAACATGATCTTTTAAATGCTTGACAAAAGTATATAAATAAATAAATATCTGGACTAAGGAAAATTATATTTTCCCTCATGTATAAAACATGTAGTTACAACTCAAAGAAAGTTTTAGTATAACTCCATGCCTCAGGCTTCTCACATGTAAAACGCAAATAATACTATTTTCTGTAAGAAGATAACTTGTGAAAATTAAAGGAGTTAACATACTTAAAGCAAGTAGAGCAGAGTCAGCCTCATACTGAACATTAGCTGCTCTTATTATTATAATTTTTATTGTTCTTTTGCTACTTACACTAAAGCTACCATAATTTCCTGAGAAGACAAGGATGTAACACTGATAGTATTAAAAGACACACTCAGAGACATCCTGCTGCCAGAGATGGAGAGAAAGCATTGCTCACACACTAAACCCTAAATGTGAAGATTGTTCTAAGTTCAATATTTCAGTAATTTTTTTGTTTTTGTTTTTGTTTCAGAAAATAAGGTTTGCTGAACACTCGATAGATATTCAGTCTCAGTCTGAATGAATGAATGAGTAACTTTTCCCCAAAAAATTTCCTCGGGCTGCTTCTTGCTGTCTCACTCTGAATCAATCCCACTTTAACCCCTGGTGTAGATGGGTCTTTATGGCCAGTACTGTCCCTTCCCTGATGTACCTTTACTTCTCACAGATCTCAAAGCCTGCAGTGCCCAGGCCCTAAAAGCACAAGGATCACCTTTCCCTGTTCAGTTTCTTGAAATTTCTAAATAGCTAACTCTTCAAAAATCTGAAATATTCACTCAAGCTTCTCACTTCCATCACTGACAACTCATCACAAGACTGATGAGTAGAGGTTTATGTGCAATAAAAACTAGCTGCCATCAAGTTGACCCCAACTCATGGACTTCATGTATTTCAGAGTGTAACTGTGTTCCAAAGGGTTTTTAATGGCTGTTTTTGGAAGTAGATGGCTAAAGCCTTCTTCTAATATGCTTCTGGGTAGACTGGAACCTCCAACCTTTTGGTGAGTAACATAGCACATTCACCATGTGCACCATACAGGATTCCTTATTTGAAACAGCCCCTGGTTTATGTATTGTGACTAATTAATTTCCTCATGCTGTCTTTTACATGTACTCCATGAAACAGAATATTGAGAACATGATATTGAAACATGCTCTGCTATATCCAAAAATAATTAGAATATAATTAAATAATTATACTTACATTGGATTATTGCACTGGCGTGTTCTGAAACGAACACCAGTCCCACACGTCCTGGAGCAGGAGCCAAATTTGGTCCATGATCCCCAATTGCCATCTTGTTTTTGTTGATTAGCATTCTTCCACATGCAATGACCCTTATAGCACCACTTAAGAAAATAACAAAAGGCAATTATGAATATCATACATACACTATAGCTGAAGTTGATTTAAAAGCCACCTGTTTGGAAGCTTCATTTCATTTTTGTTTCCAGGTGCAAATGAATTTAAAATTATCCAAAGGCAATCACACTAGTAAGGTACCCTATAAGAATAAAACTTAAAATGAAAAAATAACATCCATTCAGACAATTCTGTAAATGCTACATTCACCATGAAGTAAATTGAAGTTCAGAAATGTTCATGAAGTGTTTATGGTTACGTGGCTAATAATAATGAACTGGGGACTATTGTTGTTGTTGTTGTTGTTATGTGCCGTCGAGTCGGCCTGACTCATAGCGACCCCTCCTTGGGTTTCCGAGGCAGTATCACTACGGAAGTAGGATTGCCCAACCTTCCTTCCGAGGAGTGGCTGGTGGGTTTGAACCGCCAGCCGTCTGGTTAGCAGGCAAGTGTCTTAGTCACTATGCTACCAGAGCCAGAGCTCCTTGGGGACTATTTGGGCTGGACTCTGTATGGAAGGTATCTCTATAGTATTAGGGTTCTAATATGGGGACTATTAGAACCCTAATACTATAGAGATACCTTCCATACAGAGTCCAGCCCAAAGCAGATGCTCGAGAAATATAAGTTCTTTTCCTTTCCAGCATTTTGACTTGCTTTCTAAAACTACGTACAATGTATGTGTTTCTTAAAGTTCAACTTTAGTAAATTTAAATATACATTAGGGGAGTTGGATGTTCAGAGTTGATTTACAGGATTTTTTTTTTAACTTGTCTTCCTTTTACTTAGTGATACTGTGCTGACCATGCACTTTTTTTTTTTGTGCTGTCTTTCCCTTCATTCAAATTAATACTTTTCTATTATTTAATTAGTGATTTTCTATTCTCTCCAATCTCATCTCTGGTAATCAAAGAATGTTTCTGTGTGCAAACCTTTCCTTGACTTTTTATAACAGTGAACTCATAGAGTATTTGTCCTTTTGTGACATAATGTCATCCAGGTTCATCCAAGTTATGAAGTATTTTGTGGATTCTCTGTTGTTCTTTAATATTGCATAGTATTCCACTGTAGGTATTACCATAGCTTGTTTATCCATTCATCCATTGACAGGCACTTATATTGTTTCGATATCTTTGCTACTGTGAGTAATGCTGCAGTAAACATGGGTATGAATATAATTATTCATGTTCCACTCTCATTTTTTAGCATAGATACTTAGTTGCAGGACTGCTGGATCAAACAGCATTTTAATTTCCAACTTTTTAAAGAAGTGCCATACCATTTTCCACAGTGGTTGTACCATTGAACAGTTCTGTCAGCAGTGTTATGAGAGTTCCATTCTGTCCACATCTTCACTAGTATTTGTTGTTTTCTGTCTTATTGAACTTTGCTATTCTTGATAGGGTGAGATGATGTCTCATGTTTGATTTTCATCTCTCTAATGGTTAATGACTGCAAGCATTGCTTCATATTTTTGTTGGTAAAGAATGTCTTCTTTTGTGAAGTGTCTGTTCATGTCCTTGGCCCATTTTTTAAATTGGATTATTTGTCTTTTTGTTGTTGAGGTGTTGAAGTTTTCTATAAATTTTAGAGATTAGCCCCTTTTTGGATATGTCATTGCCACACATTTTTCCCAACCTGTAGGTTTCCTTTTTGCTCTTTTGGAGAAGTCTTTTGAGGCACAAAAGTATTTAACTTATAGAAGGTTGAGCCATCTAATTTATCTTCTGCTGATTGTGCTTTTTTTGGTAATGTGTGATAGTGTATGCCATAACTTACAGCCCTTAAGTTTGTCCCTTTTTTTTCTTTGATGATCTTTATAATTTTAGGTTTTACATTTAGGTCTTTGGTCTATCTTGAGTTGTTCCTGTATATCGTGTGAGGTCGAGACCTTGTTTCATTCTTCTGCAAACAGATATTCAAGTTTGGGTGAATCATTTGTTAAAGAGACAGTCTTTTCCCCAGTTAATGGATTTTTGCCTTTGTTGAAGATCAGTTGTCCACAGGTGGATGGATTCACTTCTAGGTTCTCACTAAACACATAGTGTATGTACCTATTGCTGTACCAACCTTAGGCTATTTTGACCACTGTGGCTGTATAGTAAGTTTTGAGATCAGAAAGTGTCAGACCTCCTCCTGTGTTCTTCTTCAGGAGTGCTTTGCTTATCCAAGCTGCCTTTCCTTCCCATGTAGGGAAGGAATTAGTGATTGCTTGTCCCATGTCTTTAAGCAATGCTGATGGCATCTGGATCAGGACTGAATTGTATCTATAGATTACTTTGTGTAGTATTGACATTTTCACAATGTTAAGTATTCTTATCCATGAGCATAGTATGTTCTTCCATTTATGTAGGTCTCTTTTAGTTTCTCATAGTAGTACTGTGTAGTTTTCTTTGTATTAGTCTTTTATATCTCTGGCTAGGTTTTTTCCCAAAGTATTTTATCTTTTTGGTAGATATTGTAAATGGTATTGTTTCTCTCATTTCCTTTCCAGAATTTTCTTTGTTGGTGTAGAGTAATCCAGCTGATTTTTGTATGTTGATCTTGTACCCTGCCACTCTGCTGAACCTTTCTATTACTTCCAGTAGTTTTCCTGTTGAGTCTCTTGGATTTTCCATGTACAGGATCAGATCATCTGCAAATATAATTTATACACAAAACCAACAGCCAAAATTACTCTCAGTGGAAAGAGACTGAGAGTATTTCCCTGTGACTACCAGACAAGGATGCCTTCTATCACCTCTCCTATTTAATTTTGCATTGGATGCCCTAGCCAGGGCAATAAATTAAGAAAGGGAAATAAAAGGCATACAAACTGGCAAAGAAACAATAAAACTATTCTTATTAGCAGTTGATATGATCCCATACATGGATTTACAGGATATCTGTCTTTATAAAGCAAAAATGAATCAATTCATTATTGTTCTTGATTTTTGAGTCAAAAGTTTGTAATATTGAATCTTCTCAAAATAAGACACTATATGCAATGTGTTTGAAATAGTGTCTAGCATAGCTTAAACCCTACTAATGGCAGGTTTTATTATTATGATACATAAATTCTTACAGCAAATTCAGTTTATACATATTTGAAACACAGTTTTAAAAGGCTTTAAAAGAACTAAAAGCTATATAAAGTTTCTTTGTCAGCTTTCAGTACCATCTACAATTTCTTATTTCAAACTAGTCAAGGCTCTTCAAATTGAGTTCTTAACATGCCTTTGTTTAGAGTTTGAGGATCTTTCCCCTTGTGAGGAGTGTTGCTTGGTGTTCAGCCAGTTTCAGGGCATTTTGTCTTCACTGCACCACTTGAGATTTAAAACCTCTGGGCATCCTTCCCCAAGGATCTAGGCCAAATCTTCTACACAAGTTCACATAACTTTATTGCTGGGCAAATTTCACAAGGAATGGAATTCCAGAAAGTAAATTAAATACTACTAGCAAGGTGTCAGATGTCCTGTTGAGAAGCTACTTCCTATTCTATCTGTAGTCAGCTTGAACCTGTAAATGTTACCTTATTCAAAAAAAAAAAGGATTTTTTTGCAGATTTGAGTAAATTAAGGATTTTGAGATAGGGATATTATTCTGGATTATCCACATGGGCCCTAAATGCCATAAAAATGTGCTCAGAAGAGAGAGAAGCAAAGGGGGATTTGACAAACACAAAAGATAAAGAGGTAACATGCACATAGAAGCAGAGATCAGAGTGATGTGGTCAACAGTCAAAGAACAATGACAGCCTTCAAAAGCCAAAAGAGGCAAGATTCTCCACAAGAACCTCTGGAGGGACCATGGAGCTGCTGACACCTCGATTTCAGCTCAGTGAAACTGATTTTGAACTTCTGGTCTCCAGAACTTTGAGAGAATAAGTTTCTGTTGTGATAAATTGTTACAGTAGCCACAAAAAAACCAATACACTATACATCTCCTCACTTAATGACTGCCCTGTTATCTGACATTCCACACTTATAACAGTAATAAATAAATAAATAACCTATCTGACTATTTTGCACATTAATGTGGGTTTCTTCTCCATATGCAGCTCTTAGCCTGCAGAGCCACTCATATCTGTTAAGCTCACAGCTGAAGCATGTAGCTCTCTAGAAGGCCTCTTGCTTGGTCCCATCCCCAACAATGGAGCAACTGATGCAGCTCTTCATGAAAAAGAGATAATTGAGGCAGATGCTGAGGAATCTCTTCCAAGAAAGATCTGTGAGTGGCCAGAGGAGCCAAGGAGGAGGTAGGAGTTAGGTAGGTTGCTGTTGCTGCCCCCTTTTATGAAAGTACCCTTGCACAGACACCAACTTCCGTAGCAGGAAGGGTATCGAGGCAACTTGGGGCTTGGTGGCAGCAGCAGAAGCCAAATACCTCCTCCTCCTCCATGGCCCAGACTATTGAACTTCTCTTCTGAGCAGCTGTTAGTCTGTGAGCTCTCAGCCTTGGATTCTAAGGTCTCCAAGACCAACAACGTATCACTTGTTTCTGTGGGATCCTCCTCGGCCTGTGGGACAGAAGAAAGTGGCTGGGACTATGGAGAGGGCAGCAGCAGAGGGTATGAGCATAGGTAGCCACCTCTGCTGATAGTCTTGACCCCCTCAGTCCCACCAAGTGCCTGAGCCCTGGAGCCATGAACTGTGCCTCTAGTCTAGCTACTGGGCCCCAGGTCTGCTTGAGTGCCAGCCCCAACGGCAGGGTCTAGGAGGGTCCAGAGCCAATGACACAGATGATCTGAGGATCTGGGCTCTGAGGCAGCCTCCATGTCCTCTTCCTTCTCGCATACCACAAATTTTGCATAACAACCTGGGGTTTGGAAGCCAACTGTGTCCATAAGTAAGGAGTGTGTAAAATATGTTATATTAGCTCATACCTGTAGGTATGAACTACACTCTATTAATGCATTACCATAAGGAAATCTCATGTATTATGAGAGTTACAGCTATGTAAATCTTTTTCCAGACTCTTCTAGATGATCATTAAGTAACATACCTTAAGCTTTCAATGTGGAGACAGATATACTCACTTTTCCAGCAGCACATTCAGTCCCGTCAAGTGGGGGTCCCTTTTTAGTCTTACAAAAGTAAGGATTATCAGGATGACTACACCACAGCTGTTTACATGGGTCAAAGGTTCGGAACTGGAAGAGAGAATCAAATTTTCACTGAAGTACTGATAGCATGGCATATATCAACAATACATTCCATACCGTATCTTCATGTTGTATTTCTTGGATATTTACATTTCAAATTAATAGTCAGAGTAATAACATATTAAAAGAAAATACTAAATAAGTAAGTATTCCAGGTAAAGAGTACATACAACTAGATGTTGTTGTTAGTCATCACTGAGTTGATTCTGATTCATAGCAACCCCATGTGTGCCAGAGTAGAACTTCAACATAGGGTATCCAAGGCCATGACCTTTTGGAATATCATCAGGCCTGTGTTGAGGCACCTCTGGGTGGGTTGAAACCACCCACCTTCTGGCTAACAGTCCAGGGCTTAATCATCTGTGTCATCCCAGATTTCCTAATAAACTAGATAACTTCCCCCAAAAAAAAAAAAAAAAAAAAAAACCTGTTGCCATTAATTCTGTTCCAGTTGATAGTGACCCTATAGAACAGAGTAGAACTGCTTCATAGGATTTCCTAGGCTGTAATCTTTAAGGAAGCTATCATCTTTCTCCCATGGAGAGCTGGTGGGTTCAAACTGCCAATCTGTTGGTTACTACTCAAGCACTTAACCACTGTGCACTAGGAATCCCATGAACCACATAGTTATTTATAATGAAAAAAATATACTCATCATAATTTTCTGACTGAAAACAGAAAATATTTATCAAACTTTCTGTGTAGTGTAGAGTATTTGAGGTATAGGGAAATTTTATAATACCTTTATATAGTTTATAGACAGCTCTTCCATATATTTGATGCTTGCAACAACGTAAGGCTGAAGATGTAGGTTATAAGTTGTTTACAATTATGGCTACAAGTATGACAGTACAGATAAGCTTAATTTTATCACTCTTAAGAATGTTGTTTATTTTCAAAAACCAAATTCAGTGCCATCGAGTCGATTCCAACTCACAGAGACACCCCCTCATTGGGTTTCCAAGGCAGTAGGGAAGTAGATTGCCCTATCTTCTTTCCATGGAGTGGTTGGTGGGTTTGAACCAACCACCTTCTGATTAGCAGTCAAATGCCCTTGGCACTTCTTGTTTAAATACACATACATATTTGCACATGCTCTCCCCTTGTCTTCGTTCCTTCTCTCTAAATATAAACATCTTATCATTCTTTAAATTCTTTCAAAAGCAGACTGCCTTATTTTTCTTCCTTGGAGCAGCTGGGAGGTTCAAACCATTGACCTCTTGGTTAGCAGTGAAATGCTTTAACCACTACACCACCAGCACTACTGAAATATACCGTATTATCTAATTATTCCCTGCGTGCGGTGGTAATTACCTACATAGAGCCTTATTATCATAGATTGATTTTTAATTAGTACCAATTTTGGACATGGGTATTTTGGCACAATTCCTATAACTTAATACAGAAATTGTATTTTTCCAGAGCATTGAGCCAATCCTTCAGAATTCTCACATCTAAAACATTAATGGATGTACTTGGTAGCTGACAGTGTATACCTTATAGATAGATGAAATAGCTGTAGACATCATCATATGGAAAATTAAAAGGATAGATGAATTTCTTCTCAGTACCATAAATAGACTTATTTTTCTTGCTCTAACATATAAACTTGCTATAAATATAAAAAGCTCTTGCTTTCTTTTTTCAGGAACTGCTAAATATCCACACAGACATTTAATTAAATATACCTCTAATCTAAATATCTACATGGCAGACTGGATGTAATGGACTCAATTGAGCATTTTTTATGTACCTGCATTGTACAAAGCACTTCAGTTGCATCATCAGATATAATCCTTACATCAATGCAATGAGATAAGTACTATCATTTGTCCACATTATATACATGAGGAAACTAAGTCACAAAGAGATTTAATAAGGTGTTCAAGGTCATACATCTAATAAGTGTCACATCCAAGACCTGACCCATATGGTCTGCCTATGGAGTCCATATTCCTGGTCCTCCTGTGACACCAACTGATGCTCATGTACAGCCATTTCCTCAATCACAGTATATGAAATCCTGGCCAATATGATAAAGAAAAGAAATCTATGTAAGGCTTAAGATTCATCTCTGAAAGTTACAAATACCAAATCAAATATAAAAAAAACATAAAATTTAGGAGCCTGGTAGTCTTGTTTTTGAAGTCTGGTTCCTCTATCAGATGTGTGACTTAAAAAAAGTTGCTTAACCTCTGTAAAGGTTGCCTTCTTCATATGTAAAATAAAAATATACCACCTTCCTTCTTTTCTGTCACAAGGATTAATTCATATAATATCGTTAAATCAATTAATTTTAGCATGTAGCAACACAGAAAACACAAAACAAAGGTAGACATTCTTATTTTGCACCAGTGAATGTGTGAAACTCAGTAAATAGGAGTTAGGTAAATAGAGTTCAAGACACAAAATCTAAATTGACTGTGATTAACATACCGCAGTGCACATTTTATAACCAACACCAAAATCAAAACGACACTGCTCATCCATTGAATAATTGATCCCGGGAAGTTCTGGGAGTTTGGGCCAGTCATGTTCAAATGGGTCATCAAGGAGACAGTCATAGGAACTGTAGGAAGGAGAATAATGCATACAGTTAATTTCTCTCTCTCTCTCTCTTTTTTAAAATCATGTCCTAATGGAAAAGCATTCTTAGTTCACATATTCTTAGTTCCCAAATTTTAGCAGATCACTGAGCTACATCTAAAACGCACACATTTTAAGGTTTTCAGCTTCAGTTCCACTTGGAAAAAGATTTTACATTCTTATTCACCCTGTGAAAGTAAGCCAAACATGATTCAGGAATGCAGTAGTACTGTGACAGCCTAATTCCATATTGCCTACCTATACCCTGACATGGTGTGGCAGCAAAGCTCCTAAGATTTACATTATGGGATAATTTTGGTATAATGGGTAGAAATCTCTTGATCATCCTCACTGTATATTCAACTGAAGTTTGATCATTAGTCAAAGATGCCACTAAGAACTCAGTAAAGGGAAAACACAGTTAAAAATATATTTATAGGCTTGTATTTTAAAATATCTTCATTATGTTATGGAATCATTGTACTGGATGCTCTCAATAATGATGTTTATTATGAACAACAGTTTACATTCACTGGGAGTCTTTCTATGATCAAGGTCCTAAAAGTCAGTATCATGGTTGTGTTCATGCTACAATGTAAGTGCTCTCTTGACATGCAGCAGAGGACATACTGGATGTATCTTTTCAACTCCTGACCACTGCACCGGGACCAGTGGTAACGATGAAATGCTGCTTGCACCAAGGGAGCCATGACACTTCCCATAGCAGTCTCGTCACCACACCTGTTGCCTTGTCCATCATGCTCCATTCCCAACCTAGAATACAAAATGAGACCTGTGACTTGTGTTTCATTTCTGTTTTGAAAATAAATATTGGGAAATCCATATATTTATTTAGTAATTTATTTTTAAGCCACAGTGGCTTTGTAGGAGTCCCAGAAATTGTGAAATAGAAAGCAATCTGACTGAAATTCTTTCCTTTATTTCTGTAGTGATCAAAAGCATAGGAGTGACTCTCCGAGCAATAGATACTCATTTCGTCTCAGTAAATGACCACTTCACTCTTTTAGCTCCTCACATTTGGCAGGGGGATAGAATTGCTTGCTGGCATGCATTCTGCCCACAGTGTGAACAATGCTTGGAGAAACAGAAAGGAACTTTTATTGCTCTATAGCTGTCAACAATGACTTACACATGGCCAGTTTCATGGGCTACAACAAAAGCAGATGAAAAACCATCCTCATGATTCAGAGTACAACTTCTTACTGGATGACACATGCCTGTGACTGGAGCGTATCCTGTAGAGAATGACAATTACTTTTATTTTCATTTCATGAGAAAAGCCATTAAGAATTATTACTGGACCTTTGCCTAGAAAAAAACTTTTTCAGGAAACAGGGGCAGTATTATTTCCCTGCTAGCATTTTGCCACATTCTCTTGGGAAAGCCCCAGGTAATGGTCTTAAAAAAAAAGATTAATTGGGGTCTGCCTTCTCCTCTTCCTTAAGGGAAGGAACTGCCCAGGGTTACTATTCTGTTTTGCCTACCAACTAAGCCTTGTCTTTCTGTTTTAGTGAATGGCCTTTCATATCACGGTACTGATGAAGAGAGCCATAAATTCCATTTACTTTGAAAAGAAAATCATCAGTCTGCTTTTTTCCCCAAAAGTCCACATCAGAATTTACTAAATATAAGCTGACTTTGGAAGAAAGCTCTTTGGCAACAGTCATTTCTCATTGCATCTCTTTTCTCATTCCAGTTAGTGGAAATCACATTGCATTTTACAGCAGCACCCCAGTCCTCCATGCCAAAGGCACAATCATTAAAGAAAGTAAAATTTACTATGGTATTTAGGAGGCATTTAACATTGTGAATTCCAAAGAAGTTACTAGAAGCAATAGAAGGAAAATATATACTTGGCAGTTGCAGGGTGGAAAGTGGTGATAGAGGTTTGAACATTTGAACAGACTCCCTGATTTAGAATTGAATATTTAAAACTCATGCCCTTAAGTATTTCTGCTACATATTTATAGAAATACCTTGCATTCCAGCAGGTCCAAAATCTTGCCTGGTTAAAAAAATTGCATGGTCATGGTGTTCAGAGTGGTTGGGATCAGATTTTTGTTGTTGGCAAGCCCAGCGACACACATTCTCCAAGCTCCTGGATGGGTTTCCCCTTTCTATAAGGCTGATGGACTAAGTAGATACAATATGTTTAAGACACATATAATATTTTTCCAAAGGCTTCTTTTAATAAATTTCTCTGAAGTTGAAAATTTGGGATTAAACTATTTAAATAATGGCTTAGTAATATTATTCAAGGTTTCTTTAAATATCTACTTGTGTTTGGGAATTCTAAAAACCCATGAAGCTTGCCTTTTTTTTTTTTAATTTTGCAGTGTTTCTCCCCTCCCTGGCCCTGGCCCCGTACCATGAAGCATGTCTTTATAATGATCAGTACTGCCTATATGGAAGTGAGATTTGCTATTGTGAGGCAACTCAATCTCAATCTTTGGGCAAATGTTCCAGTAGTGTAAATATTCCCTGATTCAGCTTAGATTTTTAGTTTCCTAGATAAAACAAGAAAAACAGAATGAATGATTCTGGCATGAGTTTTTTATTTTCAAGGTATCTTTAAGTGAACGATCTTTGGATAAGATTGCTGTTTATTCATTTTGGACAGGAATTAACACATGGGAATAATAAAAATTCCCCAATGAGCTTGGAAAGCTGGTCAAGTCTTAGTTTCGTGGGAGGTAGTCAAATTACATTAACCCCACCCTAAGAAACAAAACAGCACATCAGGTTTTCAACCTCATAGTAATGAAACAGAGTATACTCTTCTCTTACGGTTCCAGTAGATGAATTTAAGGTCCTTGGAATGTTGTTACTATCACATTTTGGTCAAGAGTTAAATGTTGAGAGAGAAAAGGGCCCAACCTGACAAGACCCCAGGAACCATGCTTCCCACAGAAGTTCTGATAGAATGAGCACTGAACTTGGAACACAAAGTCAGTCCCTTGCTTGGCTAACAGGCTGATATTTTTGTTATAGTTCAGCAAATACTATTATCATCAGTATTTACATTCTTAGCAAAATTAGCAAGGATTGTATATACTAATCACATACTTCTCTAAACAAATGATTTAACGACCAACCAAGGGCTGTTAGCATCTCCAGCTGGAGTTGGCTTTATTTAGTATTAGCAACACAAAGTAAGTCAGGCTGATGGGATAAACTAAAGAGCAATGGCACACTATCATTAGAAAATGATAAGTGGATGTTGAGTAGACAATGAAATGCAAACACATGCATTTTTCCTGTTTGCTAAATGCAAGAATTCATTAGTATTTCATAATCAGCAGGATTAATTACGGGTATGTGTGTGAGCATTTTGAAATTTCAAAGAAAGTGTTAAGTTAATCACTTTCCCATGTATTCCCCTGAAAGGGAATAAACTTTTCTATCCATAACAGAACTATTTTCATTTATTTCCAAGGGCAGGAGCATATGCAGTACCTTTTTAAAAACAGGTAAAATTTGTTACCTTATGTGAAATGCCTACTGTGTGCCTTATGATGACCCAACTTTTCGTTTTCAAAAGGATGTAAGTTTTTTTTTTTTTTTAAATAAGAAAGCTCTTTTAAGTGAAAAAAATTCTCTATATGCTTCACTTTTCTTCTGTAGAAAGATACACGTGTAAAATAATGTTTTAGCAACGCAAGCGAGGACAAAGATCTCGATCTTCTTTTGTTCACTAAGTTCCAAGCACCTAGAATGTGCCTGCCACATAGAAGACTCTGAATATAGACTTTTTGAATGAATAATGAATCACAGATTTAGTGATAATGCTAAAGTAAGGAAAATCTCTTTCTTCACAATGGTAGCCTTTTGTTTTCATTCATGTAGCCATGCCTAAAGTGAAGATTACTATCTACATCCCCATTAGACAGAAGGACTTTGAGTAAATGATACCAGCACAAAAATTATTCTCTGCTCAATTTAGAGAGCTCCTCTACTCATTCCGGAAGTTTCTCCTCCTCAGCTCAGAGCAACAGGGATCTAAGTGAGCTACAGCTACAGCTGCACCATTGCAGTCTTTTGTTTGCTAACCCAGTTCTTATGGATCACAGTTCACATATTTTAAGACACTTACCTTTGCATAACCCAGCATTATCATGCGCACCAGGACCACATTTATATGGACACCTAGGGATTCATCATGATAAATTTCATTTACCTAGAAACAAAACACATGTCATTTCTAAAAGAAAAGTAACAGAAAAGATTTCGTAAGACCCACAACATTTAAGGGATCCATCATATAATCGCCACAAGTACTAGAATCAAATTACATTTTCTTTTTTCTTATTTAGTTTAAGCTGCACTCTAAAATGAAGTTATTTACCTTCAGCTTCCCAACAATTCTTGGATATGTGGATTGATTCTGTAAACCCCACAAGGCTATGAATTTTAAAAATATGCTCAAAAAGGGTTTCATGAAACTATTATGGTGCTAAAGAGCTCTGGTCATATAGTGCCTAAGGCATTTGAGTGTTAACCAGAAGGTTGGTGGTTCAAACTCATTAGCTACTCTGTGTAAGGCAGATGGGGTAATCTACTTCTGGAAAGATTTACAGCCTTGGAAACCCAATGGGGGTTGCTATGAGTTGGAATCAACTTGATAGCAGTGGGTATTATAGTGCTAAAAACAGTCCATGTGTGGTTCAATCCACTAATAATATCCACCAAAAGCAACCACACATGGATGACTCTGGTAAAGCATCCATTTGCAGTAAGTGACCACAGCCTTAATGGTGGAGAAAAACAGACAGCAGTTATTTGCCTGCTGGGTGCCAAAGGTAGTGCTAGGGGCACTATGCTTCACTGGGGGAGTCTGTGGAGATGGGACGGGCATGCAGGAGTTGCGGTGGTCTTTCTGTGGGCCTTTCAGTGCTCCCCAGGAATGAGGCAGCTGGGACAATGATTGTTTATTAACCGTTTTAAAGATGTTCAATAGCTATTTGAATTACTAATGTGACTATACAAGTATGTATCTGATGGATATCAGTCCTGGATATAGCTCAGAAGAGCAAAATTCATGACTAGCTTTTATTAGGTTTGCAGTTAGGTTAGAATGTCTAAAAGTAAGCTGGTATATTTTAAAATCATAGATATTGGAATTAAAGCAGTCTCACAGTTATAGTCCAACTCCATTTTATATAGATATGGAAGATGAAGCTGGGAGTGCTTAAAGGATGTGCAAAAACAAAGAGACATGTATTGACAGGTATCACTAAAGAGTACTGTAATCTGTACTTCCTGACTAACCTAGTGCAAAGTAAGTGCTAATAAGGAGGACTTAGCAATTCTGAAAATGCTAACAGTAGTGAGAAATGTATGCTTGTTTAGTTAGATAAAAAATTTCTTAGCTGTTCCCAGGAACAGTAAACCAACATTGGTCATAATAAGTAAAAGAGTGACCAAACCAAACTCACTGCCATCAAGTCTATTCCAACTCATAACAACCCTATAGGACAGAGTAGAACTGCCCCATAGGTTTTCCAAGGCTGTAAATCTTTACAGAAATAGACTGCCTCATCTTTCTCCTGCAGAGTGACTGGTGTGTTTGAACTATTGATCTTTTTGGTTGGCAGCTCATTGCTTTAACTAACACACCATCAGAGCTCCTTAAAAGCGGGGCAGAAAACTATAATTCAACTTGAGATCCATGAAGTGTGGAGAGTCAGCACAGCATAAAAACTGTGAAGAAAAAGTAAGCATAAGTCCATGTTGTTGTTGTTGTTATGTGCCTTGGAGTCAGACCCGACTCACAGCGACCCCTCCTTGGGTTTCTGAGGCAGTATCACTACGGAAGTAG